TCCAGCACTTCCATCACTCACAGACATTTGGCTCCTGCAGAATTTAACCCAGCAGGCAGCAGCTACCCACTCTCCCTGCAGAGCCTCGTGCAGTGGTGGGACCAAGCACCACAAGTCCCTGCTAGCTTAGGCAGGCCAATTAAAATGACCTAAAATAGACAAATAGGGCAAATCTTCAGACACCCACTCAATTTGTATCGAACTTTCCCAATTATGTCAGCTACTCTTACTAAAAAAATGATAATGTTTCTGCTTGCAGAACTTGCTTCTTACTTATCTTCAGATCATTACAGCTACAACACAACTACCACTGAAAAGAACAAGTGGTTTATGCTTTAATTTGTGCAAAAAATAATCAATTTAAGGCTTGGAAGAAACTAAGATTTAATTTAACCAGATTAATATCTTAAAATGTAAAATGGTCGATAACAATGGCAAAGTTAGACATTTAGAAAGGAACTACTGCACATGCATTAATGAACACCTCAAGAAGCCTTAAAATGAAGTCATGCCAGCAGAAAAAATATCACCAATACTTGGTGGAGTATATTTTTCACAGGCAATTCTCTCAAGGACACTGTAACAGGGAATTCAGTCCCTTCTTTTCTGACAGCAAAATTTAGCATAAATACCAGCTTGTGTCTGGGGAAAGTTTTCTGATGACTCTCCCCATACTATGGAGCTAGTCAACTCCTCTTGAGCTTTGAGATAATAGGCAAAAATCAATGATTTCAATATGTATGAATAATATTGCATTTTTAGAGTGTTGCTGTCTTTTACTGATTGGCAGAAAGGCTAAACACAAGTAGTTGCAGGGGCATCACACTCAAAGTTGGAGAGTTCAGATTTTGTGCCAAGCCATGACCCTTTCACACAGCCAAACTACCCTTGTCAGCTTTTACCTAGATCCTGAGATTCTCTCCCAGCTTTCTGTCACCCTGTTCACGTTTCCTTGACTGCCAGCATCCACTCCTTTTACTCAGAAACAAGAGAGAAAATACAGACTCCTTCCATTTAGCCTCATACATACACATGCACATGCTCAAAGGGATTAGGCTCCTGGCTTGGCTATGGAACTAGAGGTACTTTTCAAGCCCAAATACATCTCAGTGCTAAAAAAAAAAAATCATCTCCCTGCCTTTTATCTGTATACATCCACTTATCTAAACTCTAACTGGAGTTTCATTTTTCTCACCAACCAGCTGTGAACTAATTACGAGGACTTTAACTAGTCCTGCTCCCTCTCCAAGCATATGGATCCAATTAAGTCTAACTGCAGCTGATTTTAATCAATCTTCCTTGAAGCAGCCAACCTTGAAGAATCTCTTCTTCAGCTCCAAGAGTAGAGGAGAGCAGGAAAAGCAGGAGAGTAGTATTTGCATAAGGAACACTTCACATCCGCTCGGTTGCCTGTAAACACAAGGCTCCTAGCAGTAAGAAATGCTAATTGAACACTCCTCACAACTCTTTCCTCCCACTTTACCAGAAAAGCACTGATTGGATCAGTCTCTTTTGTTCCTGGCATGGAGCTGCACTTTTCCAGGGGCAGCTCTGGAAGATGGTTCAGATCACTTCAGATAACTAAACAAACCAACCCTTTCTCAGAAATCTCACTCTGCCCACCCTGGGCCAGCAGGGACAGCCCAGCTTTCCTGGAAGCCTTTTTTGCTTCACTGAAAGAAAGAAGGGTAGGAAAAAGGAGATAAAACCCTGTTTAAACCCGCTCTTCTCATATTATTTGAATCCCTATCCCAAGCCACAGTTCAAACAGTTCCCTAAAGAAAATGTCCTGGGCACTGGAAAGGCACCTTCAACGGGGAGTCATTTCTCTACAGTTCAACACCTCTTGTGTTTTTGTAATCTGAGGTTTTTATTAGCAGTAAAGACCTGACCAGTGAGTAATATCCATGCTAAAGTCTTTATACCAGTGAAGGAAAATCAATGCAGCCTGTAGCTAGGTGTCAAGAGGCAAGGAGTTTTGGAAGATGGGGTGTGTGGAGGTGGAAAGAGCCTTCAGGCATAACTCAAGCTGTCCCCACACAAGCACAGAATACAAAGAGATGTCAGATGTTATATACACTGCTGCAGAGAGCTATCAGTATCTCAGTTCATTTGCTAATACTGAGTTCAAGGACTGTGAGTCACACACTGAACACAAAAGCACCTTTCCAGTGCTCATTTGCCCTCTGGCCAGTCCATCAGGGTCCCACTGCTCACAAAATGGCCTATTGTGCAGAAATCAGCAAAATCCATGTGCCAGTGTTCAGATACAAAAGCGATTTGTTCACAGAGAGGGTGATGAGACATTGGAATGTGCTGCCCAGGGAGGTGGTGGAGTCCCTGTCCCTGGAGGTGTTTAAGAAAAGACTGGACATGACACTTAGTGCCATGGTCCAGCTGACAAGGTGGTGTTAGGTCAAATGTTAAATTTTAGATGATCTCAGAGGTCTTTCCCAGCCTAATCGATTCTGTGATTCTGTGATGAGGAGGCAAACAGTTTTGAAACTTTACTCCTTTCCACACATCAATTCAGTCAAGCTGACGTTTTTAATTACCAAATATTAGCCTTTTCTCCCCAGATTTCACATGCTGCAGCTTTGTGAACTCAACAGACTTCAGCCTAGTGCAAAGCAGTCAGAGCCTTAATTCTACAACCTGCCTCTTCCCAATTCACAACTTGAATATGTCCCTGCTATGTATCTTCATTTAGGACATAAAATTCTAGAGACAGAGGTTTTATTTTTAAAAAGAAGGAACTGCAGATAAAGATATGTCAAAAATCACCCTCATCCTACCTTGTTTAATGCCACCCCCTTCTCTTACATCTTTATTTGATTTGATGCCATGCTTCTCCCATGTTTGTAATTCCCATCATCTTTCTGTTCAGAAAATTTCCTTGTGATTTCTGTACATAACTTTTGTCTTGTTTTCTTGTCCCCTCATGATACAGACCTTATTTTAACCCATCATTTCCCAATGACTTCTTTCATAGATGGGACTAAATAACATGTCAAACTAGCAACATTTCAGTGACCTTATCTGAGTGTATTATAACATTTTCAGTGTATTTGCTCAGCACTGATAGAAGAGGTGAATTTCTAAGCTTATCCTTAACTTTGTGGGTTCCCACTGTAAGGAATCTTCTTTCTATGTGTTTATAAAGTCATTCTAAGTGTGGCCTGTCAAGATATTTGATTCTCAAGGTGAATAAAAATTGGGAAGGCTGATGTTTTCCCCTCTGAGGAGTTCTTGGCCATTCAGGTGGGCACACACTGATCAATACTGACACTTTAGCATTCAGCTTACATATTCCTCTATTTGTGCTTTCCTCTCTACTCCTCCCCTTTCAAAGAAGCTGCTTTTGTCCTCTAAGATAGAAGCAAAGTGAGAAGGAAGGGAGGAGCTACCTCCTCTTAAAGGAGGTAAAGCTAAGTCCTCAGCCTTGGCAAAGCAGATGTAAGGACATGATCACCTGAATTCAGCTCACTAACTCACCTTTTGGGGGACTGGCAGATTTCTCTTTCCTAGACCTGCTGCTCAAATCTTGGCAGCTCAGGAGCAGTATGAGCAAACAAAGAAGGCATCACAAAGGAAACAGGGAATTCCTCTGGTCAGAGAAATTCTTGGAAAGTCAGCAGCCATTGTAAGACAAGGTAGGCAAATTAAATGAGACCTGAGTTGTAATCTGCTCTGAAACCAAAGCTGCTGTTGTGTTTGTTGGACATCTAAGCATCCAAACACCAGCCCAAAGCTTTCATCTCCCTCTGATGACTGAAACCCAATTAAAGGAGAGCTGGGTGACAGGTTTCACACTAAACATGGCTCAGCAGAGATGCTCAGCAGCTCTTAGCTCCCTGTTTTATCAAAGCTGTCACTTTCCTGTCTCCAGGAATTGGTAATAAAAAAAATAATATTTGATTCACCTCTAATAGGTGTCAAGATAAAATCAATAGTCTGTCTGAAATCTGGGTAATTTCAAACCCGCAGGTTTTTTACCATGAGGAAATTTACAAGAAAAGAGGGGGAAAAAGAGAAAAATTAAGATGATAAAATGCTACAACGCCAAATTGTTCAGTGTATCAGAGAGAACAGAAGGAAGAGGTAACACTGTTCATAGCAGGGTGGGCTTTGATTAAACAAACAGGCTCAGGTTTTTGTTTGCTCCAGCACCTTTCAAACAGGAAACACCAAAAAAAGCTTGAAGCAACTCCCATGCCCTTCCTCTGCACAGGAAAGCCTTTCCTAGGGTGAGAGCAAGCTGAAAAATAAGTAACTTATCTGCTGCAGTTGCTCCTGCCCTCCTTCAAGGGGGGTGAGACTTCATGGATCTACCCAGAATGAAAAGCTGAACACCTTCTGCTGTAGAGAACAGCACTACCCCAGGAAAAGGCAAAACACACATGGCAGTGCAGCAAAAAGAACACACCTTCCATCCTTCTGAGTCCACACCTTCTGCCCTCCATGTCTGTGCTCTGGGTGCTGCCAGCTCATCCTCTCAACAGCACTGATGGATGGTTCCTGGCTTGGAAAACTCCTACCTAATGAGGCCACACACTGGGGGTCTCTGTCTCCATCACTGATAGCAGCAGTTGAGACTTCAATACGAATGAAGCTCAAAATCTCACACCACTCTGTGCTGTTAAGCCCTGTCTACACTCCCACTTTGGAATGGATGAAATTGGGGACAGACAACTTCTAGCAGTGGAGTTATTTAACATGGAACAGTTTTTAAGGCTCCAAAAAGAAGAGAAGATGTTCTAGGCAAAGACATCAAAAAAGACAACTCTATCTGTGATTGCATCTAACATCAAACTGCTCTGATAACTCAGTCAGAGATACAGGTGTGTCAGTGCAGTCTGCACAGGCTTCCCAAAGGTGCCTTGCCCAGATGGAGGGAAGGGAAGCTGTGTGCTGGGACTGTTCAGGCACATCTGTTAGAACAGCTATGGCACATGGACCACGTGAGGTTCTCCAGCTGCTCTGGACCTCCACATTCCTACCTGCAGAGTTAGCCTCTCTAGTTTCATTTCCAGAGATCTGTTCTCCTCTTCCAGCTTGCTGCGTTCAGCTTCCAGCTCCTCAATTTTCAGCCTGGAGAAGAAGGGAAAGTTAATTGACACTGAGTCCCTGCACAGTCCCACCACAAATAACCCAGGAAAGCATGAAATCAAAGGCAGGATCAGATTATTCCTGTATTCAGTCCCACAAAGCCATGCTGCTGAGGCAGCCAAAACGTGATTAAAAGGGACAAGTTTATAGGATGAAAATATAATTTGTAAAAGTATATTAAAAATATACAACTTGACTAGAGAACAAATCCAACTTGGATGCCTCCTGAACCGCGGCCTGAGTCTAGACCATCATGTTTAATAACCACCAACAGCTAAAACCTCCGTGAGGCATCAAATCTCTTTTTGATCTGATTTATACTTTTGGCCTTCACAACACTCCTTGGCAGTGAGTTCCACAATTTAATTATGTGCTGTATGAAAAATTAGTTCAGTTTGTTTTATACTTCACATGCGATTACTTCACTGAGCGCCCGTTGGTTCTGCTGTGAGACGTCGTGAGTAATTGCACCACACTCCCCTCTCCACACCACATTCCAGGCCTCCTCCATGATTTCCTGAAAAACCTCAGTTTATTCTCCCCTCACACCAAGGATTTCCCATATTTCTACTCATCTTTATTCTTCCTTCAAGTTTTATATAGGTTTTTTTGCTATGAGAAAAGCCAGAACTACAAACAGCACTCGGGTGTGTTCAGTGATACAATGAGGGTTTCTGCTTTATTCTCAACTTCTTTTCCAGCAACTCCTTTGTCATTTTAACTACTGATATTAACCTGATATTTTTAGAAAACTATTCACAATAATGCAGGAACTCTTTCCTGAGTGACAACAGCTCATTTAGAGCTCATTGTTGTGGGAGTAAAAGTAAAGGTGTTTTTTCTGATGTGCAATTATTGACGTACGACTTCATTTCCCAATCTCGAGCAGCATCGTAAGATTCCTCTGAAACTCTCAACAGTCTGAATACTTCCCTATTATCTCGAATTCTGCCACCTCACTACTCACAAACTCCTCTTTGTGTTGGACAAGTGCCCAATGAAAACCGTTACAGGACCTAGTGGAAAACCCTTGGCATCATGAAAACATTTATTCTTTGATTTTCCATCACTTAAATTTGTATTGCATAAGCAAATGAATGGAAGGAAAATGCAAGAAGCTTTACAAAGGAGAAGGAGATTGGCTCTGGAAATCCTGGAGAAAAGGCACAAGAAGCTGGGAGAGCCTCCTGGCAAGGAACCCCAGCAGCTCTGCCCTATTTCCCATGGGCATCCAGCACTGGCCACCCCTGCAGACAGTGCACTGGGACACTCACTCCTCTGGGACTTTTATATTCTTATTACTCCAACAAAGAACCTTCTTTCTTATTCCACCAAAGTAAAGTCTCTTTGTGACCTTTGGCTCAAAACTTTTTCAAAGGTCAAATACATTGCATCAACCTTATCAGCCTTAGACAAATGATTGGTGAATCCTTCAGAGAACTCTATCAAACTCATATATATAAAACATTGGATAGAACATTTTTGCCTGTATTTAACTACAGAGCACAAAACCTTGATGCTGCTTCAAGACCCTCACCTTTCACATGTTAACTTCAGGGGATTAACTGTGCAACTAATGCATATTAACACGGATCTTTGCATTCAATTTTCTCAGGATCCTTTTTTTACAGAATATTCTTTAAAAAATAATTATCTTGCTTGATAATACTCACTTTTAAATGATCTAAATTAAGCTGAAAATCCCTGCACCGTGACAATAAAGAATGAACCCATCTGCCAGTATCCCAGAATTATGCAACAACAATTTCAGGTACAAGGAAAAATTTGTCACTCCTATTCGCTGGGCAAAAGTTACAAACTTTTCCACAGAAGCTGGTTGATATACACTATGTTCAGCACAGAAATGTCTCCTTTATAAATATGCAGTTTGGATTGCTTAAATTATTTGTAAGCCTGACCCCTGCTGGCAATTTTCAAATATTATAAAGCATCATCGGTTTTCCACTCTTGGAAGCCTCTAAAATGCTGAGGAGCTGTTCAGCCCTGTCTAGGCCATTAAAAAATACCATCAACAACTTCCAGAAGAGACACAAAGCTAGCAAGGATGGAGGATGCTGAAGCAGGAGACTGAAAAGGTCGGCAAAAATGGAAATTCAGAACAGAACTAATGCTTTTAATGGCATGTTTCTAAATGGATTGCAGAACAGGCCATGAGAAGAGCAACGCTTTCCTCTGAGGAACAGCACAACAGCTCCTGAAAGGTCACAGCCTGACACAGGACTCTCAGCAGCACTTTCTTCACACTTGACATGCTGAATTTTAATTTAGAACAAATTCCTCCCCATCCAGCCTCACAAATAAGCTGTGACAATGCTGTTATCTGTCTGCAGAACTTGTCTCCGTACAGAGGTTTAAGCTCAGGCCTCTCAGTTGCCCTTTAAAAATCATTCATAGCAGTCATCAGAAAACCCTTCCCAAAGATCTGAGACACAGATGAGATGTAACAAGGGCAGGTTCAAGTCATTACACTTTTGTGCTATTTCACCTGCAATTTTAAGATTCAATAATTTGTTCATGCCCTTTGGGTCTCACTGAAGAGTGAGCACTCATTCAAAGGCTGAGGTGCTCCTACTCAGGCAGCAACCACCATGGAATCCTGAAAGGCTTTAGGGAAGGGACCCTAAAGATCATCTAGTTCCACTCCCTTCCACTAGTCCACATTGCTCCAAGCCCTGTCCAACCTGGTCTCGAACACTTCCAGGGTTGGAGCAGCCACAGCTTCTCTGGGCAACCTGTGCCAGTGCCTCAGTACCCTCACAGGGGAGAATATCTACCTAACATCTTTTCTAAACCTGCCCTGCCAGTTTGAAGCCATTCCCCCTTGTGCTATCACTGCATGCCATGGTCAAATCTCCCCCTCCAGCTCTCTTGTAGACCCTTTAGATACTGAGAAGCCACAATAAGGTCACCCCAGAGCCTTCTCTTCTCAAGACCACCTGAACAGAGGGTCACAGCCTCTCCCCATAAGCATGGCCTTGGGCTCACCCCTCAGATGCTGCTCCTTCCGAGTGCTCCAGCTATCAGAGTATCCTCCTTTCCAGACAGTGTAGGGCTTTCCACCATGCTCCAGGTGAGCTCAGCCCACCAAGGCATGGGGAGCTCCCTGATTGTCTTCAGAGACAAAACTTGATGCTTCCTCTACACTGAAGACCAAGAACATTGCTCTAACCTCTTTGTACCAGGAGTTTTTTAGGACTGACTAGTGCTTTCACTACTTATCCCTCTTCTGGCCTATTTTTACCACTGTTAAGTGTCCTGGATCTCCAGTGGGAAAGTGTTAAGAACCATTAGCAAATAGTTCGTGCTATTCTAGCTTTGCTTTCCAGCCCCCTAGGGAGCTCTTCCCAAATGGCAAAGAGAGAGAAGCAAGGGAAATCCTGTCTATATATAAACACAGCAAAGCATTTGCAGCTGCTGGTTAAGATATGGAAGTCGAATATTGAAAAATATTTACTGGCTTAGCACTTGGAATTTGTCATTTATGTAAATTCAGGCATAGGGATGAGTGTGTCCTGCTTTTGGATGCACCAGCACCCACAGAGACAGCCTTGGTGCAAGGACATCTGCACAAGAGAGGTGATGCTATTTTATCACCAATTTGCATGCCACAACTTGTTAGGTATGGGAGTTACTATCAGGCAGGGAGAACAATCCAAGATAAACTCATCTGAGAACCACAAAAAGCAGAGTACAGAAACATCTGGGTATGGCACAATCATCTCCATCAGCACAATAATCTGCATCAGCACAAGCTCAGTGTTTGATGAATGAATCACAGAATGGTTTGGGTTGGAAAAGACCTTAGACATCATCCAGTTCCAGCCCCTCTGCTGTGGTCTAGACACCTTCCACTAGACCAGGATGTTCCAAGCCCCATCCATCTGGCCTTGAATGCTAGTATCTCTTCTAAAAACAGCCTTGTGGCACAAGGAAGGAAGAAACAGTTACTTTCTGAAATACTGACACCACTCTCAAGCTTTATGACACAGGGAAAAACCATTTGAATTAATTTGTGCAGAATTCACCAACTTCTCCATAAAGGGGTTTGAAAACATGAAAATATTTCAACTCTGGCAATGATCTCTTTGTATTTCTGGAAGACTTTTCCTGCATCAGCTGCAGACAGCTTGACACAAAATTGAAGGCTCCACAGGCATGAGGTAAATTCAAACCACCTCCACAACCTTTCACAAGATCAAATTTAGTGCAAGGATACAGATTCATTGCCATTTGCTCCGACTTGTGGAATTTCCCACTTTTCAAAGTGAGCTTTATATTGCCTCCACTGCATGTTTCATTATCTCAAATCAGAAGAGGGAATGAGAAAAAAACCCAACCAACCTATAGCCTCAGGTCTCCTGAAATGACACTTGTGAGAATCAGAGACATCCCACCGTGTGTTCAGCCTGTCTGAAAAGTGCTTAGATGGTGAGCAATGGCTGCCAGAGAGAAAGGCCAGGCTGCTCCTATTTTAGGAGGGAAGAAAGGGGAATCTGTTTGATTTTCAACAGCATCTAGACATTCCAAAAGTCTCTCTCAGTCCAGAGCTTTTCAGTGGAGTTAAGCAGTGAAAACTTCCCCCCATCACCCTTTTATCTTTCTTTTATTGGTTTTTAATGTTCTCAGCCGTGTTCTGTGCTTGCCTGTGGAGCAGCATGGATATTGCTGATGAGGACATGTCTCACAGAGGCCCCATCTGTGAAGAGGACATGGCCATGTGGAAAAGCTATCGCTGAACAGGAAACCAGTGAATGGAGCAGAAAATGTATGTGTTGGGAAGATGCTATTAAGGGATCCAGATGGCATTGAGATGGTGCTAGGAGCAAAGCAGACAGAATTCCAGCAAGTGTGACTAATGGGCACTGGCAAGGACATGAATTTCTTTTGAATTACTGTAACTCTACCCAGTCACTAAATCCACAGAAAACATTTAGGATTTACTGGGGTTGCAGTTTGACAACAGAAAGAAAAAGTTCAGATTTGTTCCAGCTGAAAAGGTCCTTCAGCTGTTGCCACTTAAGTCTTCAGTGAAGTTCTTTTTAAACAGATTCCTTTTATTTCTAGGTTCAGAAATACTGAGTTTCTGCACAGTTATCACCTTCCCTCTACAAGGTGCTAATGCCTAAATGCTCTCTGCTTTGCTATACCCACCGTGCAGGAACTCAACGGGTTGACCAGTGTTTCTATTCATAGGACTTGCAGAATATAAACAAATCTGATTTCAGAGGGAGCAGCAAAGAAGTGTGAGAAATGACAGCATTAGCACTGCCTTTTATTGTCTCTTCAGAAACGATGATGCTGGGAGAGAGTTTCACATTTAAAGTTATAAAAGGTCTGACGAAAGAGCACTTTGTTCTCAAGAGAAGGAGGAAAAACTGATAAAGTCTTTCAAGTTTCTGGCTGAAAATTTACTTTCCATACTAAAGAAAAATGAGACAAAAGATATATTTTTAAAAGCTCTCATTCACTCACAGGAGGTGAATACAGACTCAATGGATTAATATGGATTTTTTTTTTCTCCTTTATGTCTCTCCTGCTTTTGTTTTCAGAAGTTAGCTCCTGACCACGGGGTGTATATGGAAATGCCTGGAGGCTCCCAGGCCATTTCCTGTTCTGCACACTCCCCTCGCTGCCTTTTGCTCATTTTCCTCTAGTTTTCACATTCCTTCACGGCAGCAGCTAACAGGAGAGGTTGGGCTCAGCCCAGAGGAGCAGATGCACTGTGCTGTAGGTTATGGGATTTCAAAGACCACAATAAACCACAGAAATGGAAATAACTCCCTGATAAGCTGTGGCATTTCTTTCCCCACTTTCCAATTTGGAAGTTTGCATTCTTCCCCGTTTTTTTGCCGAATTTCTGGCAGTGGTATGTAGAAGGAAGGAGTAACAGTGCAGCTTATGCTGCTCAGTTCTCCTTGAGACACTGGCACAGGTTGCCCAGGGAGGCTGTGGCTGCCCCAACCCTGGCAGTGTTCACAGCCAGGTTGGCTAAAGCCTTGAGCAACCTGATCTAGTGAGGAAGTGTCCCTGCCCAGGGCAGGGGGTTGGGGCTGGATGCTCTGTAAGGTCCATTCCAATCCTTAAATTCTGTAATTCTATGATTCCTTGCAGCTATGTAAAATTGAGTAAACTGGTCCTGTTGAACCCCACAGGACACAGGAGGAGGAGGAACACAGCAGACCTAATCCCTGAATCCCAAAGGCCTGGGGAAAGATAGTGATTTATCTTAGAATCATACACAGAACAGTTTGGGTTGGAAAGGACATTAAAGATCATCTAGTTCCAACCTCCTGCCATGGGCAGGGACACCTTCCACTAGACCAGGTTGCTCCAAGCCCCATCCAGCCTGGCCTGGAACATTTTCTTTGAAAGAACTCAGCCCAGTTTCTCATCCAATGCAGATAAAATGCCACAAAACACAAAACAAAGCCCAACCATATACTTTGACTGCTTTAAGTCTAGAAACATCGAAATAAATCTTTATGGAGTCAATTCTGCAATGCTGTGGAATGCTTGTGAGCCCAAGAAGACACCTGAAGCAGTAATAGTAGCCAACAGTAAGGAAAAAGGAACATGGATTGGCTTACAGTGCTCCAGCAAAGACAGCTCCAGCAGAGAGAAGTCATTTACTGTTAGAGCTGAGCAGTGAAAAGGGCGATAAAAATCAAACAAATCCATATTTTTTGGAACAGCTCTGTGGCTAAATGACCAGTATCAGGATGTAGGACAAGTATTTAAATCAGCTGTAATGACAAAAAGTGGTTCAGTAAAAGATGACAGAAAAACAGTCTGGAATTAGAACTTGGGACTGTATACCCACAGCTTCAGGAGGAAGCAGTACTGAAATGGAGAAGAGAAAAAAAGACAAGATATCAACACGAAACAACTGTAGAAGCTTGGCCTCTCTGGCTAAAGCCTTCAGTGCACAGCCCATTGCTGGAGAGCAGCTCTGCACTGGGAAGAGGCCTGTATTTCTGTCCTGCCTTCTGTGAAAGGTTTGACACAATTTCATGGAAGGAGGAGAGAGATGAGATTAGCAGTCAAAAGAAATTCTTTAAAACCAAAGAGAGAAAAACATTATGTAAGGGAGTTAAGGGCTGCTGTTGAGCAGAAGCAAACACAAACATCACAATCCTGTAACAAGGGGATACTTGCAAGCTCCACCTGTGCCTGCCCAGGAAATAGATTTCAGTTCAGGGCACAGCCAGACATCTCCATCCCCACTGCCAAGTGCCTACAAAGTGGTCCTGGACTATGTGGCAAACCAGCTGTTTCTCCCTACACACTCTGCCCCTGAAGCTGCTCAAGTAATAGATGGCAAATGCTGTTCAGGGAAGATAAAACACCAAATAATGAGTCTTGGAGGGGAAAATAAAGTGTCTGAATGTCTCCTAGCCACACCAACCAGGGAGGGAGAGACTGAGGAGGTACTCTAGAAATCCTCTGCAAACCTGCAGCTCCCCAAAGACAGCAAACAGGATGCTGCTGGCTTTACTGATACACAGCCATGTTATTAATCAGGAGTGATGGGTTTTATGTTGCTGAGGAGGTGCTGATTACTCCTGCAGCAGTATAAACCTCAGGTTTCAGAGGGTCCAGGGTGCCTTAGCAAAGGAAAGAGCTGAATGAGCTAACAAACCTGCACAATAGGCAAAAGCTGACGGGGACAGGTTTATCTCCCTGAAAAAGGGAAGCCATAGCATACTATCCTTTACCAGAACTCAAACATATGATGGAATAAAAAAACAGGAAATGTGTGCCTTGGGCCTCCAGAACTATTATGGCACCTTGAGGGAGCTATAGGAGTGCGTCCCTAAGATTAGGTGTACAGCCCTAAAAAACGTATTGGAATAGCTTAGCAGAACATGTGTTACTTTCCAACACATCCCTCCTGCTATGGAACTGGCCTTTCAGAGCTGTAAAACAAGCTCCAGAGGCAAAGCACAGGAGCAAAGTCATAACACACAGGCCAGTAATTCCTGCTTTCTGCAGGATTCTGCTTGCTGCAAAATCTTGCCTTCAGTCCTATGAGGCTCTAACACTTTATTGGGATGGAGCTGAAAATATAAAAGAATTAAGAAGTAAAACTCCAGCCGAAGTCTTACATCAGCTGAGAAAAAAAAAACCACAACACCTCAGTCTGTCAAGACCTGATTTGTTCAGCTTAAATAAAAGGAACTTTATTAAACATTCAGAAACAGATGAACTTTTCTGTGCTCAGTATTTATTGTGTCACCTGCTACGGAATGGAAGCCATAAATGCTTTAATAAATACATGGAAAGGTTGTCTAGCTTCACTGTAGCTTTTGTAAATGCTCATGTATCCTCTGCTGAAATGCTGTTTTGTAACTTGCCTTTCACTGAATCACAACAGGTACCCCTCTGCCATCTACAGCAATGCACAAGGGGAAACATCCCTCTTTTATCTCCAGTGCTACACATGCATCAGTAGTACAAAAGCTGGATTCTAAACCTCTTCACACACATGCCAACAGATCCTGTATTTACAGGCGAGATTTGGTCAAAATAAGAAATGAACAGCAATGCTGTGGCCACAGGAAAGGAAGGCAACAGGGAATAGTGATGCAGGAGCCAGTCTTAGGAATTAACTGACAGCAAGAGCCCCCAAACATTAAAAAAACCAGAGCTGTAGCCTCCCAAAAGATAGAAAAGCTTACAAAGTATCTAAATGCAGGACAGATCAGGGCTGAGGGTTTCTGTTAATGCTTCATGGATTTCTCACGTACATAAAAGCTGGAGGGAAAGTAAAAAGTGTGCTTGGGAAAAAACCAACATTCTTCTTTAGGAATAGAAGCAAAATATGTTCTGAGCAATGCTACTACAGCGTTGCTTCTATAGCAGGCAGCCTATATGGACATGGGCAGTATATATAGAATCACTTCAGGGCTGAGGGTTTCTGTTAATGCTTCATGGATTTCTCACGTACATAAAAGCTGGAGGGAAAGTAAAAAGTGTGCTTGGGAAAAAACCAACATTCTTCTTTAGGAATAGAAGCAAAATATGTTCTGAGCAATGCTACTACAGCGTTGCTTCTATAGCAGGCAGCCTATATGGACATGGGCAGTATATATAGAATCACTGGATGTTAAGGGGTTGGAATGGAGCGATCATCCAGTCCAGTCCCAACCCCCTGCCCTGGGCAGGGACATCTCCCACCACACCAGATTGCTCAAGGGTTCATCCAACCTGGCTGTGAACACTGCCAGGGTTGGGGCAGCCACAGCCTCCCTGGGCAACCTGTGCCAGTGTCTCACCACCTCTATACAGACGTAGTCTACATGCATACAATTCTTCATGGATCGGAGCACTGCACCTGGTGCTCTGCCATGAGATGACAATAACTACAGCAGGCAGTGAAACTACCCTGGGCATTTCCCTTCTCATTTAGGGCCACTGAAAATAGTAGAACCTGTGCAGCCTTTGCCTTGCTTTGCCTACCTGAGCGTGTCCACCTCCTCCTTGGTGACACCAGTACTCTGCTCAGCTGTGCACTGCTGGGACTTCAGGATCTTCATCTCCACCTCCAGCTGCAGAAGAGAAAAGGCATTAGTTCCTCCAGCAGTAGTAAGGGGCATACATGAACAGCAAAGGCAGGAAGAGGAAATCATGATGCTCTGCACAGATAAGACTTTTCTCAGGACATGGACGTGAAGCACAACTTCTCATGTGTCAAATGTCAAAACCCCCAGTTAACCCTGTTTCCCTTCGCAATCCATTTTGCTTTCCCCAACATTTTCTCCAAGGTATGTGAGGCAGAGAAAGTTGACTGTTACAAAGCAAAGCTTCTGCTTCTCTTACAGATATTTCCCCTATTGTTCCCCATGGGACGTAGAAAACTCTATATGGCATTAGGAGCTCACTGGTAGCCAAGATTCAGTATTGACAGTTCAACCTCATTTAGCTTCACATCTTCCCCAGAAGAAACGAACCACAGGATTACTGTCTTGTCCAGGACAACTCTGAGATACATACATTGAATCCAAAAGACTGGGGAATATTTCCAGCACTTTCCAATATACACTTCTAGCTCAAGCAGCTCAGGTAGCTCTGGCTGAACAAACAAACAATTAAGAATACTTTCTGCCTCTGGCCTTGTTTGGGAAGGAACTCACAAGTAAGTATTACAAAACTCTACAGACATGAAAACTTCATAGCCTGACTCTATCAATCCCAGGCTCCCTGACCTGTAGCAATCTGGATCCCTAATTCAGCAATCAAGACAATGCACAGATTGATAAACTACATATGTTGCTTGTTTCTAGACCCCTCAGAAAATGATTTATTATGAAGTATAACCAGAGACAAACTACCTAGAGGATACTCAAATTTCTGTTCCAGCACCATCTCCCAGCTTAGACCTTCTTCACATTCATCCTTGAAATTCTGGATTTCCTTTTGTCATCTGTCTTTCACCACCTGGTGGCTAATTCCCCTAATAAATCTATTGACAGAACCTATATTTCTCACTCAGGAGGAAAATAATAAGCAATCCAGACTTAATTATAGATGCAAAACTTATGACCACAGAGAGTTCCGTGCTCAGCATCAGGGAAATGGTCCATTAATACAGCATTGCCTGCAAGAGAATGGTTTAGACTGGTAGAGCAAAATCACATTGCAACAGCAAACTTCTGCAAGCTTCTTGCAGAAACTAAGCAATTTTACAAGGAAAAGAAGCATCTTGACACAGGCAGTCATATTGCTCAGCCAGAACTGAAATTCTGACATGCTGCCTCTTCACCCTTCCATGCTTACCAGAAAAGACAGGTAGAGCATGGCAGTGCTGCTAGCAGGAAAGGGCACAGGATGGATGGTTGGATTATTCTCCCTTCCCTTTCTGATACCACAGGAACAGAGCAGAAAAGAGAGAGGGTCAAAAAGTGGTTTTAACCAAATTCCCCCCTGGCACCCCAAAGCCTTGCATTCTCCCCCTGCCTGTCAAAAACATCCAAGAGTGAAAAATAGGCAAAGACCCACCTGCATCATCAGGCTGTACAAATGTTAATGTATATTAGCTGCCTGATAAGATTATCACAGCCAGAAATGCTTCCCTCAATTTTCTGATTACTGAGCTTATCTCTCCCAGCTCAGCCCATCACAGATGGCTGGGGATAAAGCAAGCACACTAGATAATTCCAGGAATGTGAATAAAAGGTACCGGGATGAGGAACAGGCTTCAATTCCAACCTACTCCTAGCAGGAAAGCACTCATTATGTCTCCCATTTCCCGTGTCTGCTGAAGCCTGGATGTGTTTGCTATTCGGAGTCTTGGGCAGCTTTCTGGGATGTGAGGACAGCGTTTGAGGATGGAAGGGCTGGTGAGTATGTAATTCATGACTGGCTAAGAGGGCTCAGAGTCCTCCTGCCACCTGCTCACCCACACCAGCAGATAAATCACGGTCGCCTTCTTGGGGGAGAAGGAGGACTGAGGGGTGGGCAAGTAATCTGCTGGTGTGATCTGGGGTCTCCTGTGGTGGCTGCACAGACAGGGAAAAAATGGAGTGTGCCGTAGGAAAAGGAGAGGGGCGAGTGAATGCCTCTCACACCAGCTGGAGTGAGCGGCGCCGCGGAAAGCGTCAGCACACGTCGCTCCTGCCGCACTGTGCGGACAAATTACTGCCAGGTACACTCAGCAGCAGCACGAGGAGACTCTGCTGGGTTTCTAAGAATAAGCTGTTGAAGGAGAACTGAGGAGGGAAGGGCACATGGACTGTAAGGGCATTTCATGTCATTTCTGTGTCCTCCCAATTTTCAAGTGCCAAAACGACCTGGACTGAAAATCTGATGTGCCTGAGGTGAGAAGGAGAGGAGGGCACAGTGATATCACTGCAGATGAAACTGGCTAGAGCAGTTTGATGTTGACATGGACCTGCTTCCTGAGCTAGGATTAAAAGTACTGGAGAATTTCACATTCAGGCCAAGACATGATTTTTTGCCACAAAAAATCATTGCCATTCAAACCTCACTAACCATTGGTGAAAAAAAGAAAGTAAAAATTAAGATAGTAAATATTTCATTCAAAATATGTCATTTCTTTTAATTGTCAGGGCTTCATCCTCAATAATTGTTAGGAAACCATCCCTTAGTGCCAATCTTACAGAAGATAGTAAAAATGTTGTTTATGCCTTTCCCAGGACAAAACCAGTTAGATGAGATGAGATGGAGTGGCTTATTGTTGGGATCCAATTCTGCTTTTCTGAAGGGAACACAGTGCAGGCAAATAGGTCTTCACAAAGCAAGAATGAAGAGAATGGCAAAAAATAAGGAATCTGCTGATAAAGCTTAAGAGATGAGGAGGATCCTGAGACCATTCCCTTTGACACAGCCTCGGGATATCTCTGGGACTGGGTGATGAGCATGAAATTTTTCACCACAGTGGAAGTTTGTCCTTTCCTGTCCACTTGTCCTCTCAGTACCTGTGGCAGAGAATGGCTTGCAGAAGAAATAAGGAGGGGAAAAGCCAATCTCCTTTTGCTGTTTCCTCTGCCTAATTCCTATCACAATTTCCAGTCCTAGTCTCTCTTGCTCACCAGATGCCACTTTCAGCAGGTATTTTCTACTTTTCAAAACAATTCACTATTTCTGTCTAAACTCTTCCAATTTTTATCAATAATTTTATGTAATTGGCTGAGTTAAACTTTCATTGCTTTGAATACATTAAACCATCAGAAGCCATTACCCAGCAGAGAGGGGAAAAGGGCTGCTCAAATTATAGCTCATTGCTGTACTCCCCCATTCTGAACCAAACGACCTAGGTCAGCCTTGGATCCTTCAACTCTTTTTATGTTGATCTTGCTCTTTTAACTAGCATTGACAGCACAGAGGGAACATTGTCCCAAAATACAGCATTGCATCTCTTACCTTGAAAAATGCACACGAAGGACCTAAGGACCTAAAACATCTGCAGGAGCTTCAGGGTTAATATCACCCAAGATCAGATCCCCAGTGATATTCCCACTGTACAGAACACATTAGCAACTTGAAAAGAAACACCAAGCTATTATTTTAAAGTTATCCAAGGTTTTTGCGACACTAGATAAGGCAGAATAATGAGCAATATCAGAGCCCATGACCTGTGAATAAACTGCATAAACAGACACTTAATGCTTTGAGGATGTGCTGTTCTCCTCTCAGAATATACTGGGGCCTCTTGCTCTCAACCTAAAATGATCCCATTTATCCTGAACCTTTTCTACACTTTTTCACTTCATAACATGAATTCCAGTCCAGCCTTATTGCTCTCAATAGGAAGTGATCAGGACACATCCAGTATATAGACTAATTTTACAATGGCCATTTCCACAAATATGCAAAGTGCCCCAAAAGATTTTTCTTCCAAAATCAGTACTGCCATCGTTATTTACACAATGGGAAAGAGAGGAAGGAAGAGCATGGATGGATTTTCATCTGGTGTTTCATTATATGAAGTATCGTTCTTCTTTCAGCCTTACTTTTAAACCTGCCTGGACAGGATTCCAAGAAGGTGGTTCTCCTCCAAGTGTTAATGACATAGCAAACACCCACAGCAGGGTAAGAAATATGTTCCTTGCTGCTTTTCTCTTCTGTAGCAATTATTTAAAGATACATGAGATGACAGGAGAAACATAAAATTATAAATTCATCTCCTGACAGCTAGAAGAAACAAAATTTTACTTTAGAGAGCTGATTTTCTTGGTATATTTCTGGCATTTGTCATTTCTGACCCATATTTGTCCCCTCCAATCAAGTACCCTGAGCCTCTGCAATGCCACAGACCTCTGCTCCTTCCCAGCAGCTCCAATGTTGATAGAGACAAACCTTTCCAGAGCATCCCACTGACCACTGATGTCCACACTCCACTTTCAGAAGAAGCTTATCACAGGTCAGATCAGACCCCTTTGAAAATCACATTTAGGAACTTCTGAACATTTTAACACACTGGCCAAAATAATGAGCAAATCTCTGTTCAGGTGCCTCATTTTGGGTAATAAAGGACTCAAAAATGTGAAGTATTGAACTCACTTCTAAAGTAGGATTTGCATGTGGAAAAAAAAAGGGGCTGGTTTCCTCGCCCACATCATGTACACACATTTCACAGAACACATGCTGGAGACATACAGTTATTATTTGAATAATGAGTGCATTTTAGTGAGGGGCTGATACAGCAATCTTATCCTGATGAAGTGTGTCTGCACGTCATTCAGCATTCTTGGAACTGTAAAAAAGCAGGAAATGCTGAATCCATTATAAATGTCTAAAGGTTTATTTAACAATGGGCTGATGCAACATCCTTTGAAAGGCCTTCCCTCAGCAAAAGAGCTGATTTTGAACGGCAGCGATAAATAGGAACTGAATTGCATGGAGCCAGCATGGAAAGGTGAACTGAGAGGTTGTGTTTGACTACAAGTCTAAACAAAATTCAAGAAGCTATTTCAATGCATAAATATTTAAATGTATGAAAACCAAGCAGACTTGGAAAGAACACACTAAAATAGACACGAGAGCAGAGAAACGGGACCCTCACTATGACCCATACACTGAGGTTTGA